ACAACCTGTTGGAAGCTCACACCTAGAGCGACGCCCGAGCTGAGTGACTCGCCTTGGCGAGTCGCCAGGTCGGACAGCATCACTCCAAGCCTCTGGCTTAGGGCGGTTTTTGCCCGACCGGCGGAACCGCTGCGCGGTTCCATACGGTCGCAAATCGCTCTACCCTGCCGGACCTCCAAGCGGAAGATCGGCTGCGGCGGACGGCGCGACGGGGGGCTACTTGGCGGCGGCGGGCGTGCGCCGGCCCGGCTGCGCGTCGGCGGCGCCGGTCTCGACCGGCCCCTTGGTCTCGACGATCAGGCCGTAGTGCTGCGGCTCGCGGTGGCGGGCGAAGTCGAAGACGCTGCGCTTGAAGGTCAGCCCGAGGTCGAGGTCGCAGGCCGCCGTCACCAGCTCGTCCTGGTCGGTCACGGCGATCGCCACGGTCTCGCCGGTCGGGGCGATGATCTGGGTGCCGCCGATCATCGGCACGCCCTCCTCGTTGCCGGCCTTGGCGACGCCGACCACCCAGGTGGCGTTCTGGTAGGCGCCGGCCTGCATCACGAGCTGGTTGTGGTGCCAGCCCAGGCGGTCGTGCTCGGGCGCCGGGGGATTGTGCACCGGGGTATTGTAGCCGAGCAGCACCATCTCGACGTTCTGCAGGCCCATCACGCGGTAGGTCTCGGGCCAGCGGCGGTCGTTGCAGATGCACATGCCGAAGCGCCCGCCCAGCGCCTCGAACACCGGGAAGCCCAGGTTGCCGGTCTCGAAGTAGCGCTTCTCCAGGTGCTGGAAGGCGCGCCAGGGCTCGTGCTCGGCGTGGCCCGGCAGGTGGATCTTGCGGTACTTGCCGACGATCTCGCCCTGCTTGTCGACCAGGATCGCCGTGTTGAAGTGGCGGGTGCGCCCCGCCTCCTCGGTCAGTTCGGCATAGCCCAAGCAGAAGGCCAGTCCCAGGCGCTTGGCCTCGTCGAACAGCGGCCGGGTGTCCGGTCCCGGCATCTCGCGCTCGAAGAAGGCGTCGATCTTTTCCTGCTCGGCCATGAACCAGCGCGGGAAGAAGGTGGTCAGCGCCAGCTCGGGAAAGACCACCAGGTCGCAGCCGCGCGCCTTGGCGGTGCGCAGGTGCGCGATCATCCGCTCGACCACCTGGGCGCGGCTCTCCGCCAGGGCGATGGGGCCGAGCTGGGCGGCGCCGACGGTGACGATACGGGACATGGGGTCTCCTCCGATGTTGGGCGCCGGCCCGCCGCCGGTCCTGCGGGGCGGCGGCCGTGGCGCCGGGTCAGTTGGCGAGGGCGAGCAGGCTGTGCAGCAGCAGGTCCGCGCCCGCGGCGATATCTGCCGACTCGGTGAACTCGCGGACATTGTGGCTGATGCCGCCGACGCTGGGCACGAAGATCATCGCCGCCGGGCAGATCCGCGCCAGCATCTGGGCGTCGTGGCCGGCGCCGCTCGGCATGCGCCGCACGCTGTGGCCGAGCGTGCCGGCCAGGGCCTCGATTTGCGCCACCAGATCCGGGTCGAAGGGCACCGGCTCGAAGCGGGCCAGGCGGCGGTGGTCGACCTCCAGCCCCTCGGCGGCGGCGGTCTCGGCGACGAAGGCCTGCAGCCGCCGCTCGGCCTCCTGCAGGCGGGCCTCGTCGGTGTTGCGCAGGTCGACGGTGAAGCGGGCGTGGTTGGGGATCACGTTGACCAGGTTCGGCCCGACCTCGACGGCGCCGACCGTGCCGACCTGGTCGCCGCCGAGCGCGCGGGTCAGCTCGCGCACGAAGGCGATGGTGGCGCCGGCCAGGTAGCCGGCGTCGTGGCGCAGACGCATCGGCGTGGTGCCGGCATGGTTGGACACGCCGGTGACGCGGAACTCGGTCCAGGAGATGCCCTGCACCGACTCCACCGCGCCCAGGGTGATGCCCTCCTGCTCCAGCACCGGCCCCTGCTCCACGTGCAGCTCGACGAAGGCGTGGACCTGCGGCCGGCCGACCGGCGCGCTGCCGGCGTAGCCGATGCGCGCCAGCTCGGCGCCGACCCGGCTGCCGTCGATGCCCTCGGTCTGCAGCGCCGCCTCCAGGTCGAGGCCGCCGACGTAGACCAGGCTGCCCATCATGTCGGGGGCGAAGCGCGCACCCTCCTCGTTGGTGAAGACCGCCACCGCCAGCGGCCGCTCGGTCTCGATGCCCGCCGCGTTGAGCGTCTCGACCACCTCCAGGCCGGCGAGCACGCCGAGGTTGCCGTCGTAGCGCCCGCCGGTGCGCACCGTGTCGATGTGCGAGCCGGTCATCACCGGCGGGCCGTCGCGGCGGCCGGGCCGCAGGCCGACCAGGTTGCCGATGGCGTCGACCGTGACCTGCAGGCCGAGCGCGCGCATCCAGCCGGTGACCAGGTCGCGGCCGGCCTTGTCGGCGTCGCTCAGCGCCAGGCGGCAGACGCCGCCGCCCTCGATGGCGCCGACCTCGGCCAGCCGGGCGATGCGGTCGAGCAGGCGCGCGTGGTCGAGGCGCAGGTCGGCGTGGGCGGTCATGCCGTCGCTCCGCCGCGCTGGTCCGCGTCGCGCACCTCTTCGCCGCTCCGCCCGACGAGCTCGCGGTAGAGCAGGGGATCGGTGTCGCCCTCGCTGCCGAACACCAGCACCCGGGCCTGCGGACCGAGCCCGAGGCTTTCGCGCGCGGCCGGGCGGGCCAGGGCCGCCGCGGCGGCGCAGAGCCCGGCGACGGCCGACTCCCCGGCGACCAGCGGCGGGTCGCCGTCGACGCCCCTGGCCAGCAGCCGCATCATCTCGCCGGCGGCGGCGTCGGTCACGGTGACGAAGGCGTCGGCCCCCTCGTCCAGGATCTCCCAGGCCAGGATCGAGGTCTCGCCGCAGGCCAGGCCGGCCATGATGGTGTCGAGCGCGCCCGGCACGGCGCTGGCGCGGCCGGCCCGCACGCTGGCCAGCAGGCAAGCCGCCTTGTCCGGCTCGACCACCAGGAAGCGCGGGCGCCGGGTCCCCAGGGTCTCCCAGAGCTGGGCGCAGATCGCCGCCGCCATGCCGCCGACGCCGGCCTGCACCAGCACGTGGGTCGGCGGCGTCGCGCCGGCCTGCTCCAGCGCCTCGGCGGCCATCAGGCTGTAGCCCTGCATCACGTCGCGCGGGATCTCGGTATAGCCGGGATAGGAGGTATCGGAGACCACGGTCCAGCCGTTTTCCGCGGCCTGGCGGGCGGCCTCGCGGATGGCGTGGTCGTAGGTGCCGGGCACCCGCCGCACCTCGGCCCCGAAGCGGGCGATGGCGTCGACCCGGCCCTGGCTGACCGTGGCGTGGACGAAGATCACGCAGCGGCAGCCGAAGGTCTGCGCCCCCCAGGCGACCGAGCGGCCGTGGTTGCCGTCGGTGGCGCAGCACACGGTGGTCGCCGCCACCCGCGCGGCATGGCGGCCCGCCAGGATCTCGGCGGTGCTGGGGCTGTCGCCCTCGGCCTCGGCGATCTGTCGCTTGAGCAGGCGCAGCACGGCATAGGCGCCGCCCAGCGCCTTGAAGCTGCCCAGTCCGAAGCGCCCGCTCTCGTCCTTGTAGGCGACCGCGCCCAGGTCTAGGCGCCGCGCCAGGCCCGGCAGGTCGACCAGGGGCGTGGGGGCGTAGCCCGGCCAGGCCGCGATCTCGGCGCGGGCTTGTTCGAAGCCGTCGCGGTTGAGCACGGCGCGCTGGCGCGGGCCGTAGGGGCGCGCCGGGTCCGCCTTGGGGTTGGGCGCCATCTCGAAGGGCGCGGCGGCGACAGCCTGCAGCGAAGCGGTCTGGGGATCGGACATGGGACGGGGCTCGCCTAGAGGGAGATGAAAGCGCTTGAACGGATAGCCAAGCAGCAAGTCTCGGCCAGGGTCAACGGCCTGCGCAGCCGGCAGGCCGGTGGGCGGCGCGGGCGGCGGGCGGCGCAGGGTGGCGGGCGGCGCGGCGGCCTGTCGGACGCGGGCGGCGCCCGATAAGGGGCAAAGGCTGGGCATTGTCCGGGCAAGTTGCTTGAATCTTAGTCAAGTCAATTTCCGTCGTTGTGCGCTGGCAAACAAACCTCTGTGCGACGAGGCGGCCGGCGCGCTCAAGCAGGACGCGCTTTTTGGGCGAATTGGATACTTCGGACTCGCATCATCGGCGATGCTGGCACAGGATTTGTACATCGAAAATCGGGATCGAAGGCGAACCCCTGGGCGCAGGTGGGTCGTTTCCTGCCGTCCTGGCCGCTGGATCAAAGATCCCGAAGGCAACAAGGAGGCTCTCGATGGTGAGTGTTACGAGGCGGCGCCTCGGCGTCCTGACCGCGGCCGCGGTGGCGCTGGGTGCGGCGATGGGGCTGGGCGCCCAGGCGGCCCAGGCCGAGACGGTCCTGCGCGTCATCCCCCACGCCGACCTGAAGAACGTCGATCCCATCTGGACGACGGCCTACATCACGCGCAACCACGGCTACATGGTCTACGACACGCTGTTTGCGATGGACGAGAACCTGGAGCCGCAGCCCCAGATGGTCGACAGCTGGAGCGTCAGCGACGACAGGCTGACTTGGACCTTCACGCTGCGCGACGGGCTCATGTGGCACAACGGCGAGCCGGTGACGGCCGAGGACTGCGTCGCCTCGCTCGAGCGCTGGGGCGCGCGCGACGGCATGGGCCAGAAGCTGATGGACGTGGTCGCCTCGCTCGAGGCGGTCGACGACAAGACCTTCGTGATGACCCTGTCGGAGCCCTACGGCCTGGTGCTGGAGTCGATCGGCAAGATCAGCTCCAACGTGCCCTTCATGATGCCCAAGGCGCTGGCCGAGACCGATCCCTTCGAGCAGGTGCCCGAGATCATCGGCTCCGGTCCCTTCAAGTTCTCCGCCGAGGAGTGGGTGCCGGGCTCCAAGGTGGTCTACCTCAAGAACGAGGACTACGTGCCGCGCGACGAGCCGCCGAGCGCCGCGGCCGGCGGCAAGGTCGCCAAGGTCGACCGCGTCGAGTGGCTCTACATCCCCGACCACACCACGGCTATGAACGCCCTGCTCAACGGCGAGGTGGACTACTGGGAGACCCCGCCGGTCGACCTGGTGCCGCTGCTGCAGCAGGACGAGAGCATCACCGTCGAGGTGCTCGATCCCCTGGGCAACCAGGGCATGCTGCGGATGAACCACCTCTATCCGCCCTTCGACGACCAGAAGATCCGCCAGGCCGTGGTCGCCGCCGTCGACCAGGAGCTCTACATGAAGGCGGCGATCGGCGATCCGCAGTACTACAACATCTGCCACTCGCTCTATGCCTGCGGCGCGCCGCTGGAGACCCAGGCGGGCGCCGAGCTGATGATCGAGGGCACCAAGGAGCAGGCCCGCCAGATGCTGGAGGAGGCCGGCTACGACGGCACCCCGGTGGTCATCCTGCAGCCGACCGACATTCCCGTGACCAACGCCGCCAGCCTGGTGACCGCCCAGACCCTGCGCGACATCGGCATGGAGGTGGAGCTGCAGGCGATGGACTGGGCCACCGTGACCTCGCGCCGTGCCGTACAGGACCCGCCGTCGGAGGGCGGCTGGAACATCTTCCACACCTGGTGGATCGGCGGCGACATCTCCAACCCGGTGACCCACACCGGCCTGTCGGCCGGCGGCACCGAGCGGGCCTGGTTCGGCTGGCCGGACGATCCCAAGCTGGAGGAGCTGCGCGACGCCTTCTCCAAGGAGACCGACCCGGACAAGCAGAAGGCGCTGGCCGATGAGATCCACGCCCGCGCCATGCAGGTGGTAACCCACGCCAACTTCGGCACCTGGTTCAACCCGGTCGCCTATCGCGACAACATCTCCGGGCTGATCAAGTCGCCGGTCCAGTTCTTCTGGAACGTGGCCAAGCAGTAGGCCGGCCGCGAAGAGAAAGCGCACAGCCCCCCATGCTTGGCTTCATCCTACGACGCCTGCTGGCCACCATCCCCGTCATGGGGGTGGTGGCCCTCTTCGTGTTCCTGATGCTGCATCTCAGCCCCGGCGACCCGGCCACGGTGATCGCGGGCGACTACGCCAGTCCGGCGGACATCGCCCGCATCCGCGCGCAGCTCGGCCTCGACCAGCCGCTGCACATCCAGTTCGGCACCTGGGTCTGGTCGCTGCTGCAGGGCGATCTCGGCATCTCGATCTTCTCCAACCTGCCGGTCACCAAACTGATCGGCCAGCGGCTCGAGCCGACCCTGATGCTGGCGCTGACCACGCTGATCATCACCGTCGTGGTGG